TGGGGGCTTGAGCCTGTGATCTACCTGCCTCAGCCTCCCAGAGTGCTGAGATTACTGGCTTGCACCACCATCCCTGGCTACAAAGAATTACTAGGATACATGTCTATTGCACAGAAATAGATTGTTCTGTTCCCCTCATCCACATTCAGGGGCCCAAACCAGTGGAGCTCCCACCTAATGGGCAGTGGTGGTGTTGGGAGGCCATGGTGGTGTCAGGAGGAGGCCCTCACATCTTACCGCAGCCTCACATGTTCCCGGTCAGTCCATTCAATTCCTGATCCTATCTGCAACCTCAAACCTTGTAGTCTCCAACCCTCCTGTGGAGGATAACTTGTTTTTTATTAACTCAGAACCTTTTAAGAGAACTTACTAAGGCAGGAAGCAAGTGGAACGACTCATTCCTAGATTCATTTTCTTCCTTTCCTGGTTAGAAATCCTAACAGAAGTTGGCAGTGGTAAAAACACCTGTAACCCCAGCACTTAGGAAGTTGAGGCAGGAGGGTAATTAGTTCAAGGCCAGTCTGAGCTACATAGCAAGTTCAAGGCTAGTTTAGACTGTGTGGTAAGACTCCAGTTGCAAACATACCAATAAAATATTTTTTTAATAATAAAATGAAAAAGGGAAAGAAAAATCCTAACCGAAGAGAAAGGGACAGAGCTAAAGCAGTGGTTCTGGTAGTCTACTAGGGTATTTTTGTTTGCCTGCAGCTAGGAACATCTCTGTACAGCCGTAAATGTATACAGCACTACAAGCCCAGCAACCCCTCTACAGACTACAGCCAAAGAGGGTAACTGTGTAGTTCACAGCGAACTTTAGAATCTGAAGGAACCTGTATGTCCCTGACCAAACTTCATTCCAGAAAAGTTTATACTAGTTGTTCCAGGCAGCATACCAGAATCTGTAGTGACAGCCCTGCTGGCCTTCCCCGCTTTAGATACTGTTTTGTTTTATTTATTGAGACAAGATCTGCATATATAGTCTAGGCTTAACCTTGAACTTTCAATCTTTCTGCCTCAGCCTTCCAAGCGCTGCGATTACAAAACACCATACCTGGTTACCTCTTACTGGCTTTTGTCACAGAAAAGGATAATGAATGATAGAAGCTTTTGCTCATAGACCACCCTGTGCTGACAGGTGTCTTACTAGTTATTTTATGTGGTAACCCCCTCCCCTTTTTTTGAGGCAGGGCTTTTGCTTTGTAGCTCAGACTGGCTTTGAACTCACTATATAGCCTAGGCTGGCTTCAAACTCTCAGCAATCCTCCTGTCTCAACCCCCTGCTGCTCAGATTATAGGCGTGTGCCACCATGCCCAGCTGAGAGCCCTTTTTTCTTAAAACCACATGTAAAGTTGTTCTCAACACCATGGTGAGGTGGAAGTCCTGTGGTTGGAGCAGAACTCTGACTTCTTATCCTCTAATCTTTTGCTCTAGCACCATCTTTTCTGTAAACTATTAACTTAAAAGAATATTCTAAATAGCTTCTATTCTCACAACTCATATATTTGACCTTAGAACTAGAAAAGCAGAGAGTAATGTCATTTTGGAGAAAGGATCAAATATAACAACAAGTAAATGTTTTCTTACCCCTTAAAAAAATTACAAAAATAAGACAGAGAAGTCCTGTATATTCTTCTTGCAGATTCTTCACATGTTGACATTTTACTGCATTCAAATTTAACAGATATGATATCTAAACATTTTAGTGTGTATTTTCCAGCAAACAAGAACATTCTGTTACATGACCATTGTACATTAATCAGAATCAGGAAATGACTGTACTGATCTAAGCATGGTATCTAATCTACAGACCATATTCATATTGGCCAGTTGTACTGTAGCTCTCTTTGTAGAGAAAGAAAAGCTGTATTTGTCTTTTCTGTCCCAGGATAAATGCAGGATCACTTTATTGTGATGTATCATTCAGTTGTCATGTCTCTTTAGTTTACTTTAATCAGAAATAAACAGTTCCCCTGCCCATATTTTTGAAAAGTGAAGGCCATTTGTTTTGTAAGGTTTCTCTGAATTTTGGTTTATCTGATGTCTCCTTGTGATTAGGTTCTATATATGTATTTCAGGAGCAGGAATACTGCCCCAGGAGTTGGTTCTTCTCAATGGGTTGTGTTAGGAAGCATGTGGTTTTGGGGTACCTTCGCTCAGGGGAGAATACTTATCACTTGGTTCTGTGGGAGCTGTCAGGTTTCTCCATTGTGAGTTTATTGTGTTCCCACTTACAATTAGTAAGTATCTGCTGAGGAGATACTGTGAGACTGTAAGTAAACTTTTAACCACTCTTAACAAACACTGATGATTGTCACTTGAGGTGATTGTTACTGTGATGGCGGCCAAATGGTGATCTTGCTAATCTCATCTTCTTCTACGGTAAGTAAGCACTTCCTCTGCTTGCATTTACAGGCTCCCTTTCATGCTACAGTTCATACTTTTTGTTTGTTTTAGCTAAATATGGTAGTAGAACGTGCAGTCTTTCTGGGAGATGCTTGTTTTTAAGTTTATGCTCTCTACAAGTATTCCACACTAAAGTTCCAATAGGAAATGAAAGAATTGTCCTTTGCATATGATGGTCTATTCTAGCTCTCACATCTTAATTCCAGTGATGATGTTTTATTTCTATCTGTCATCACCATTACTTGTATCTTCCCCCTCACCCTTAGGTTCTGTTTCCAACACAGAATTTTGTTTAGAAATTTTTTTTTTTTTTTTTGGCTAAGTGAATATAGAAATCTTAAATATTATACAAAGTTATAGCCACACTTTCATGATCTACAACTTCAGATGAGTGTTGAGTCAGAATCTTGCACAAATCAGTTAAACCAGTGTGAGGGACTGGGACCTAAACCTTAAGATCGGGGAAAAGAGGTGACCCGGAAGGCAAGTTTAGTGTAGGCAACCATCTTTGGTTGGTCAGAGGCTCCCAACCGGGAGACTTGATACAGGTTCAGCATCGTATATACAAAAATCTGAAATCCCAAATACTTCAAAATTCAAAATTTTGTAATATGACACCTCAAGAGAAAATTCCACACCTGATCTCATGTGATGGGTCAGAGTGAACATGTAGATGCACTAAAAGTAAATAAAGTCACATGTATAATCTTTCAGCCAGAACCGCCATCTTCCAGTAATTTGCCAAAATGATGAACACAAAGGGAAAGAGGAGGGGATCCCGGGATACGTTCTCTAGGCCTTTTAGAAAACATGGGGTTGTTCCTTTGGCCACATATATGCGAATCTACCAAAAGGGTGATGCTGTAGACATCAAGGGGATGGGTACTGTGCAAAAAGGAATGCCACACAAATGTTACCGTGGCGAAACAGGAAGTCTACAGTGTTACCCAGCGTGCTGTTGGCATTGTTGTAAACAAGCAAGATACTTGCCAAGAGAGTTCATGTGCATATTGAGCATATTAAACTCTCAAAGAATCGAGATAGCTTCCTGAAACATGTCAAGGAACATGATCAGAAAAAGAAGGAAGCCGAAGAGAAAGGTACCTGGGTTCACCTGAAGCACCAGCCTGCCCCGTCCAGAGAAGCACACTGTGAGAACCCATGGGAAGGAGCCTGAGTTGTTGGAACCTGTTCCCTTTGAATTCATGGCATAAGCTGGGGCTGGAGCTCTGCCACTCAGCGCCTGATTGCCACTAAGTATTCTAGGCCCTACTTGAACAGAAAAAGTCATCCTGTGTTGTAAGGGTGGTTTTCTTAATTGAACAGGTGTTTGGTACCTTTACCTCAGAAACAAATATTTGGAGCAGATTTTCATCCTACCTAGTTAGTTGTGTCAGGTCTTTACTCTTGAGTGTTTTTCTTGCAGAAAGATATTGCTGCAGTATTGTGTAGGTGTCTACCCAGATGGTGAAATATTTATGAAATATTTATATTGGCTTGAAGATCCTATAAATCACCATGGGGAAAAGATGCAGCAAAACAAATGGAAGTCACTGCAGTTATATAAGTGGAAGTCCATTTCAGTTAAATAAATTGTTTAAAGCAAAAAAAAAAAAAATCACATGTGTATAAGGTATATATGAAACAAATTAATTTTGCATTTAGGCTTGGGTCCCATCCCCAAGATATCTCATTTTATTTATATATATATATGTGTGTGTGTGTGTGTATATATATATATATATATATATATATATATATATATATATTTCAGAATTTAAAAAATAAAAATGAAATGTGAAACGTTCCTGGTCCCAAGCATTTCAGATAAAAAAATACTCAACCTGTAGGACCCTCACCTGTGGAGCACCTTGGCAGTTGCCACAATGTGTACATTTTGCTCTTGTCCTACCTGATTTCTCTGAATTTCTTCTGTAGACATAAACTGGTTATCTTTGATAATATTCTCCCTTCTCTGGTGAAAGGGGGTAAAAAATAATAACAACTTTTCCAGGAAGGTTGGGGGAAATTTTTATTTCTGACCCCTAGATTGGTTAGAGACTGAAGTATATCAGATTTTCTGATAAAATCAAAATTATATTGTAGCAATTTGTTTCTTGATTAAGAAGGCTTTTGTAGGGTTTGTGGCTGCAGGTTGACATACTACCTCTGGGGGTTTTTGCTGTTGTTTTGTTTTTTTGAGGGGGCTTTTCTTTGGTCTTTTTGAGACAGGGTCTCACTATGCAGTTCAGGCTGGCCTTGAGCTCACTTTGTAGCCCAGGCTGGTCTCAAACTTGCAACAATACTCCTGCCTCAACTTGCAGAGTGCTGGGATTATGGGTGTGTACCACCACGCCCGGCATTAAACCTCTGCTGTTATCCAGACCTTGAAAATGATTTTTCCAAACTCAAATTCTAGAGAAGTGAAAGTTTTTATTGATTGTGCTTACTTAAATTTGAAGTTTCCTCCCCTCCCCAACCCTGTGACTACTAGCAGATTTCCTGAAGTCCTAAGGAAGGCTTTCAAAAAATAATTAACATTTGTGAGCTTAGATGTCTGTAAATCTTCTTTTACTGCTGGATTTTCTTATTGTAGGGGGACCTCCTAATGAAGTCAAGCAAAGAACTTTTACGTGTGAGCCTCCCTGAAGATTTTCTAAGGAACAAAGGTACTTACTTCCCTAAATCCTTTCCTTTTTTTTTTTTTTTTTATTTACTACATAGTTTTAATTAATAGTTTCTATTTTATATTCAGAATGTAAGCCTAGTTCCTGCTTTGCAAGATAGACTTAGCTGTAAAAATTTCTTGGTAAGTCCTTCCCTGTTATTATGTGTTGAACTCTTATTGCTGATGTGAAATCCTTGACTTTTTTTTTAGTAATCAGATTATTTTTGCCTATTGTGAAGGATAAACTAGAACATGCGAGAAATCTACCCATATTGTTGAGCATGTGGTAATTCTCTGGGGCAGGTATGAGAGAAAATGTTCACTCCAGGTCCTTTCGAGAGTTGTTTGTTTTGTTTTTCTCTGAGACAGGATGTCACTAGTGAACCCTTGAACTCGCTATATAGTACAGACTGGCCTCAAACTCATTGCAGTTCTGCTGCCTTAGCTTTCTAAGTACCGGGATTACAAGCTTGTGCCTCCACGCCTGCTGAGAGGTTTTTTTGCTGTTGTTTTGTTTTTAATGTTTTAAAGTATATTCTTGCAGGAGTTTCAGGTAGTCCTTCATCCATTTTGAATTGACTTTGTGGTTTTTGTTGTTGTTTTGTTCATTTGTGCTCCTGTCCTGGCCTCCTGAGTGCTGGGATTACAGGTGTATGCCACCACCAGGCCCTGAATTGATTTTTTAGTGAGAGATAAGGATCTAGTTTTAGTCTTCTGCATACAGATACCCAGTTTTCTCAGCACCATTTGTTAAAGAGGCTGTCTTTTTTCTGACATACGATTCTGGCTCATTTGTCAAGAATTGATGGCTGGCTGGGCATGATAGCACATGCCTGTAATCCTAGCACTTGGGCAGCTGAGGCAGGAGGACCACTGCATGTTTGAGGGCAGCCTGGGCTACATAGTGAATTCAAGGACAGCCTGAAGTACATAACGAGACCCTGTCTCAAAAAAAAAAGAGAATTGATGGCTCTAGTTAGCTAGGCTTGTTTGTATTCCGTTACTCTTTGTGTCTGTTTTTGTATCAGTACCATGCTGTTTTTGTTGCTGTTGTTGTTTTGTCTTTTTGAGACAGGGTCTTGTTATGCAGTTCAGGCTGGCCTTGAGCTCACTTTGTAGCCCAGGCTGGTCTCCAATTTGCAAGGATCCTCCTGCCTCAGAGTACCGAGCTGATTTGTTCTGTTTTGGTTTTTGTTTTTTGTTATTTAATTTTTTTGAGACAGCCTCTCTGGGTAGTCTAAGTCGGCCTCAAACTTGCAGTCTTCCTGCATCAGCCTCCTGAGCACTGGTTTTATAGGTGTATTCCACCAGGCCAAGCTCGTGCTGTTTTTATTGTTAGGACTTTATAGTATCATATGAAATTGGGTACTGTGATGTGTCCAGCCTTGTTCTTTTTGCTTAGGATTGCTTTGGCAGTTCTGTATCTCTTGTGTTTTGTGTTTTGTTTTGTTTTATCTTTTTTTTTTTTTTTTTGGTACCAGGATTGAACTCAGGACCTTGCGCTTGGCAGGCAGGCGCTTGTGCTGCTGAGCTGTATCCCCGGCCCTTGTTTTATCTTTTTGAGACAGGGTCTCACTATGCAGTTCAGGCTGGCCTTGAGCTCACTTTGTAGCCCAGGCTGGTCTCTAACTCCCAACTATCATCCTGTCTCAGCCTGCCCAAGTGCTGGGATTATAGGTATGTACCACCATGCCCAGCTTGTTTTGCTTTGTTTTTTTAACAGTAAAGTTTTATTATTATTATTTATTATTATTTATTTTTTATTAAGGCTAGCTTGGGCTACATAGTGAGTTCAAAGCTAACCTGAACTACATGGCAAGACCCAGTCTCAACAAAAAAAAATTTATTAGAGATAGCAAAAGAAACAGGCTGTGCAGAGGGCCTGTAAAAAGTAGGAAAAGAAGTACACTCTACAGCATGAGCGTGGACCACCATGCAGGAGTGAACACAGTAGCAAAAACTCAGTGGTGACTGTCCTTTTTGTAACACCTGTTCCTCAGGCTGACATCAGGTCTAGGCTTCCCTTTCAAAAAATATGCTCGAGTCTTTTTTTTTTTTTTTTTTTTTGGTTTTTCTCCGGTACCGAGAACCGAACTCACGACCTTGCGCTTGCCAGGCAGGCGCTTTGCCACTGAGCTAAATCCCCAGCCCCATGCTCGAGTCTTTGAAAGAAGTCCACATTCAGGGCTTTGGGAACTGTTCTACCCATGTGTTGTAGGATTTTGTGACTAGTGGGTCACACGTACTTCCCCCGCCAGCCTTGCCATGCCCTGATCTCCTGTCTCATTTCCCGCTGAGAGATACATATCCCCAGAATTCTGTATGGGGTGCTGAGGGAGGGGAGGTCTCTGTCTTCAATAGCTTCTTCCAACTGGAAGAGCCGTAGACCCTACCTAGTGGGGATTATGTGCTCTCCAACTACCTTAGGGAGTTGTGGGTTGAAGAAAAGAAACCCGTCAGAAGACAGTGAGAAAAGAGTTAGTGACTGTTGAGCTGTCTGTTCGGTGGGAGAAAGAGAATAAGTGTACTGTTATGTTGGGGGTGTAGAACCCATATGCAAGGAGCAGGGCAGATTTCCATGCTTCTCCTGGAGGACAGAGTATGGCAAAGAGGAAGGTTGGATAAATTATCTAGAGCCTGAGAGCCATAGCCTTAGCAAGATTACCCGCATAATGGATCTAATTTAAAATGTGAGTCTCAATGCAGGTACTCATTTAAGCTGTGGTGAATTAGGATCATTGTGACTCTACTTAACAGCATCAAAAGCAGTATTAGAGGCATGCTTTCTGAAGAGGAGCCTCAGGTCTTCCAGAGGTTTTCAGGAAGAGCTTTCTTAATCCTGTGACAATTTCCCATGTAGGATTTTATAGCTTGTCACTGCATCCCTTGAGGAAGGACCAGTATGGTCCTCAGGAACTAGGAGTTAGGGTAGAGTCTTGAGGGGCTGTAGGCTGTCTTTGTCTCCCTATCAAGCCTCTTGAGCTTCCAAAGAGACCTTACGTACCTCTTTGAGATTGCTTGCAGTGAATGACAAAACCTGCTTAGACTACCTCTAAGAGTTGTAGAATTCTGTACTTGTGTTTTACAAACGATTGCTTATTCGTCATCAAGATCCTTCTTTCAGATTGCTGCGTGGGCGTGTAGCACCAGGCGAGCATACCTGGAATCTGTATAGATACATAGGGGGGAGGTTGGCCTCAATGACCTGTCGCAAACTGACAGCTGCAGCACCGGCCTTTTGATGTCCTTCTTGGACAGAGCTACTTCTGTCAGTGAACTGCACCTCCTCAGGGTCCTACAGGGTTAGGTCCCTGAAGTCCTGCCTGTTTGCACGGGTCTGGAAGATCACTTGTTCACAAAAGTGGCTAACTTTTGGGCCTGTACGCATCAAAGAGGCAGGATTAAGAGTAGTACAAGTTTTATAACAACCTCAGAGGTATCTAAGACCACGGCCTGATACCTGGCAGGCCATTCCCACCTTTGGTCTCAAGAATCGCTCTGACTTGATGGGGAGTCAGAATTTCTAGTCTGTCTTAAAGTTAGTTTTGTAGCTTCTTCCATTAGCACAGCTGTAGTTGCTACTGCTTGCAGGCAGGGCGGTCATCCAGCAGCCACTCCATCTAACTTCTTGAAAGTAGTCAACTAGGCAGAGTTCTTGTGCTAGCATTTGGGCCAAGACACTCAAATCAACCAAGCACCTTTTTTTTTTTGAAGCTGGCCTTGAATTTGCTATGTAGCCCAGGCTGGCCTCGAACTCACAGCATTCCTCCTGCCTCATCCTCCTGAGTGTAGGGATTACAGGTGTGCACTACCATCCCTGGCCTCTCTTTTCTGATATGTAGAGGAAAAAGGCTTTTCTTTTTTTTTTATTTCTTTTTTTTTTTTTGTCTTTTTGAGACAGGGATCTCATTATGTAGTTCAGGCTAGTCTTGAACTCACTTTTAGCCCAAGCCAGCCTCAAACTCGCAGTGGTCCTTTTGCCTCAGCCTCCCGAGTGCTGGGATTACAGGCGTGCACCACCACGCCTGGCAAGGATTTTCTTAAGTCAAGTATTCCACTGTACTATGCAGCAGGTTCTTCCTGTTGGCTAATTTGGTCAGGGGGAACTGATATACGCCCAGCTGGTAAAATTCATTTTTGCCTTTGTCAGAATTTCAGAATTTTCCCCAGTTTTATAGAGTAAATCTCTTCCTATCAAGGGGGTAGGACTCTGTGGCACAATTAGAATCTCACGGTTAAACATTTGTCCTTCAATGGGACACATCCGAGCAGAAGTAAAGAATTTCTGACTAGGGGCCCCCTGGGCCCCATCTATGGCTATAGACCTAGAGGGTGGTTTTCCAGAGAAGGAAGTCAAAACTGAGTGAACTAATTGAATTAGCTCACCCATGACGTCCAGGGTTACCCAGCACTCCTTACAGGAAATGGTGATGTCCATAAACAAGGGCCTGGTGGGTTCCCCTGGGCCTCTTCAGAGCAGAAGGCAGGGCTTGGCTGGCCTCACCTCTGTCTGGGAGCAGGGACAGCCAGCCCTCCAGTGCCACAGGTCAGGCACGCTGGCTGCCTCACACTCACAGCAGGACTCAGGCAGTGACTTTGTGTAGTCACGTGCCCAGTGTCGACTTCTTGTCCTCGATCGTCCTTGGATTTTCTTTTAGACCATTTGGGTGAGTTTAAAGTATTGCCAATTGCAGCAGTTAAACTTCCAGCTTCTCTTGTGACTTTCCTCCAGATCCCAATTGTTAAACATAGAACATGCTGTGCCCAGCATTTGGGTCAGAGGTGTCTGGCATCCCATCTAAAGCTTTTTCATTAAACAGATGGGAGAGACCCATATCCTCCCCGAGAGACAGGTGGGGATCTGAGGACAGGATCATCGAGGACAGCTCTCTCTACCTCGGAAGACGCTCTAAATATGATAGTTCCTGGGCTTTTCCTGAGATAAAGGGTCACAAAATCCTAAACATAAGTGATTTCACTTCCTTGTATGTTTTAAAAAGA